TTGAAAGGTACAATGGTTTGTTGAAGGCTACCCTGAAGGCAATGGGTAGTGGAACTTTCAAAAACTGGGACAAGAATTTGGCAAAGGCCACCTGGTTAGTTAATACCAGGAGATCCATCAATCAGGCTGGTCCTGCCCATTCAGACCTTTTACATACTGCAGATGGGGATAAAGTCCCTGTGGTATGTGAAAGAAACCTGCTGGGTAAAAGTGTTTGGGTCTATCCTGCTTCAGGCAAAGGTAAACCTGTCAGAGGTATTGCTTTTGCTCAGGGCTGCAGGACATGCATTCATGTCTTGCTGATTAGCAGGTGTCCTGGTTTGAGCCAGGATGAAGCCAATTTTTCTTTTTACTGATTTTTTTTTTTCCTTCAGTAAGCTTTCTTGTAACTAGCAACAGTGTGTTCTGCTAGGCTGATAAGACAGTGGAATGTTTTTCTAACTACTGAGGCTTCAAGGCTGCACCTGCACTCTGCCGGCTCCGACACTATGGGGAGATCTGTGACCCCCCCGTAGGAGGCTGAGTTAGATGGACAGCAAAATTGGCCAAAGATATTCCATTCCATATATCTACGTAAGCTCAAAGGAAGGTCAGAGATCACAGAAGACAACTTCCTTCCTTCTTCTTCTCCCCTTCTCTTCGGTCCATGGCCGGCGTCCAGGGAGGACTCTGTTCATCCATCACCGTCGATCCTCAGGCTCGAGATCTCCTGACACCCATAACTCTCTGCTCTCTTCCAGCAGCAGCTCCAGGATTCCTCGGGACTCTTCCCAGTTCAGGGAAGTGCTATGGGAGTTGCTGGGGTGGGGGGAGGCGAGAGGCTTTTGCCCACACCTGAGTATATCTGTATATAATTGTATGTATTTTCTTGTATCATTCATTAGTGTTTTAATTAAAGCTGTGTAGTTTAGTTTTCAATCCAGCCAAGTCTCTCTCTTTTTCTCTCTCTCCTTCCCTACCTGGGTGGGAGGGGGAGGGGATCGAGAGCATTGTTGTCGGACCTGAGTCAAACTGTGACACTTCCACAAGCAGTTGTGCCAGCCCATCTTGCAGGATGGGGACAAGGTCTGTGCCACAGAAGTGGAAATGAGCTGGGGAAGCCAGCTGCCTAACATTGTCCAATGCCACCTAACCTTTTGTACTGAAAAATTATGGCTACATTAGCTCTTAATTAGCAGAATTCCTAAGGAAGGAACACATTCAAAAGAAAGATTGGAAGGAAAACAACTTTTGCTGCCTTTTTTTTTTTAAATGTTTTCCTGTTTTTGGAGGAAGCTTTATCTGCAACATTGCTGTCTTAAAGTTTGAAATAGAAGATAAATCATGAGTAAAGTTGTGTGGAAAATATCAGCTATAAATTAATGAAGATGCTTTAATTGTCCCTTCCAGCCTTACTAGCGCCAGTGAGTTCTAGTTTTACTGTTGAGCAAAATGCACTTTCATATGATGAGGACAAATCTATGCAGCTGAGCAGCATTTCCATTTAGAGCAAGACTTCATCCATCTCTGACACAACAATTCATGCAATACAGATACTGCCCTCATTGAAACCCATCTCATACACTCATTATGTTTATACTATATGTACAAAGTCAACCACAAAAGCCAAAGGAATGCTGTATGGCAGGCTTGACATTTTATTATTTACAGAGCTTCTGCCACATTTTCATTTTTCATCTCTCTTGATGGTTATTGAAGACATTTACATGAGGATAGATATACAGGTAAGATCCTCAGATAGTGGGAAACTGAAAGTCTGATTCAAGTCAGAAATATATCAGTTTACACCACCTCAAGATTTGATCCAGGTTTTGCGTGGTTCAAAAGCTTGCCTGAAGTCAGTGTTCACTGGCTGCAACATTACCATGTGCTGCTTTAAAGATAATCTGGTTGCCAGAAACAGTGAAGTATGTCTGCTTGAAAGAAATAAGCAGCAGGAGCAGAGGAACCCTTAACCTGCAGAAGACCATATATTTCAAGGAAATGTTCTTAGTAATTAAAAACAAATGGAAAAATATGTTGAAAACAACATATTAACAGAATGAAGTGTTTAAAAAAAAAAAAAGTTTTTCTGTTTTTTTCCACTACTTAGCAGCAATTTTAAATCAAAATTATTTAATTTCAAAATTATTTGGATGACTACATGAGTTAATGCACATGAAAATAGATAACGCAGTTGAGGTTAAAAAATAAGTTATTATTTATTTAATGACAAACAGGTATCAAAAGACTGGAACAAGCCACAATATAAAAATTGACAAATTAGCATTTGTAGATTCTATTATTATATATCCAGCTCATTACTACTCAATTTTTCTATTTCTTCCAACATTTAAACGCCATATTACACTCCTGTGCATTTTTCTTTTGTTGGCACAAAAAAATAACACCATTAAAACACACACAAAAAATGAGTCAAATCTCCCATAGGGATTTACTTCACCAATACATTTTAAATAATTCTCTTTAGTCTTGCATTTTAAATAAAGTTGCTCTTTTACCCTGCTTAGAGATTGGGATGTCTTTTCACATTGCAGAAGTTCTCACATCTCTTTGAATATTCCACCAGTATTACTTCTTCCTCTGTGGTTTTTAAATGTTTCGGTATCTCATTAGCTGATTAAAAATTCTGATGATTTTTAAGCATCTGTGAAAACTATGGCGTTCATTTTCCTCTATCTTTTCTAATTTGATATAGAAGTTGTTATTTTTGAAAAAAAGTCATGTGGAACCAGTAAATTATCCTATATTCAATCACACAGCCATCCTGGTAAAGAAGGATTATTCAGAGAAAGGCAAGGCAATAAAAAAAGCATGTGACTAATATTTTTCACATTATTTCAGTCTGCCAAGTTATTTTTACAAATACAATTATAAATGGAAGTACTGATACTTTTAAACATTAGAATTGCTGTAAATCATAGGCTAACTTGTCTGCTGGTCTAAAGGAGAAAACTTCACTGTAGATGTATTCAGCTGTACCAAGAACCACTTACTGTTGTCAAAGCCTGTCAATGTTTTATCATCTGGTACATTCTGTTTAGACCTGGCAGTGCAATCAAGTGAAAAGCAGCAGATGACTTTCCTGCTTTGTTTTCTATGATGTGGTCACCAAATGGTCAACCAGTACCAAAAAGTTTATTATTTCAGAAGAGGGCTGATGAGGGTCCAGCATTGACCCATATCTGTCCAACTCTTCTGAGAAAAAAGTCAACTTCTAAATAGTTCTTCCAGTCATTTGATAAACAGATTTATTTTTCTAAAGGAAAGCAGGGGGAGAAAGGCTATAAATTTAAAAAAATCTGAACTAAAAAATAAAAATTTAACACTCCTTGATCTACAGTGGTCATAATCCAGTGCAGCTACCACTAAGCTTCAGGGTTTAGCAAAGCAAGTATACCAACTGACTAGTATTTAATTGTTAAGATCTGTCTGTAGCAAGGAAGTGGACTATACTAGAAAAGCATATGCAACAGACACATAGACACTCATGCCATATGTTTTACTGTATTATAGAAGGAGAGAAAAAAGAAAAAATATTTATTTGATAAGAAACAGCTAATGCTGAATGTATGCAACAGACGGTACATACTACTAGTTAGTTACCACAAAAATATGTAATTAAGAACAACTTTCATAACACATTAAATTTATAGAATTTTCCTAATGAAAATATATTTTCCCATATGTTACCAGTCTTTTGAATTTCAGCAATCCACATACCAGTCCTTACCTTGCCAAAGTATCAAAAAAGGAAAGAGAACTGTGTTCTATCTCCTGTTTCAATTTATTAATGGTATTTTTTACATTTCTTTTCAGAGCAAATGGCCTTCAGCAGTATACGTAACAGTTAAAAAAATGCCAAGTAAAATCAGATAATTTATTTATAGGTCCTTAGTTTTGAATTGTGTCCTTGACTGAAAAATTCTTCCATGTAACTTGGAAAGCAACAGTGAGGTTTTATTAGCCCCTCTGGAAACTTGAAAACAATTTTCTCCTACTAACAAGAACTTTCTTTGTATTTACATGGATATAATTAATACAATATTCACTGAAAAGTCTGTGTAAGAGAATATTCAGGACCCAGTCTAGCACTATTTGAAATGTGTGGACATAATGAAGTGCAAAAACAGATAA